CCGATTGCCCGTTAACGGCTACTGCACGTTGCGCCCAGCCGCGTGCCTTCCTTATACGCACCCGAGCACGTCACCAGCTGTGTGGGAGAGAGATAGAGTGTGTGAGTGAGAGAGAGTGAGAGAGAGGGGGAGAGGGGGGGAAGGTCGATGCTGGCATGCTCGTGGATGCCGATGCCGTTACGTATGACTCGCAGCGTGCCTTCCTTATACGCACCCGAGCAAACGTCACACAAATGCTGTGTGGAGAGAGTAGGAGCCTGTGTGAGTGGCAGAGAGAGTGAGCAGAGAGCGGGCGAGCAGGGGACGGGAACGGTCGATGCTAGGCCATGCTCCGTGGATGCCGACCTGCCGCTTACGCTGATGACTTGCAGCCGTTCCTTCCTTATCACGCACCCGAGCACGTCACCCAGCCTGTGTGCCGAAGCAGAGATAGAGTGTGTGAGCGGTGACGAGCAGAGTGAGGCGGAGAGGCGCCGGTCAGCAGGGCGCGCCGGCAAAGGGTCGATGCCTGGCCATGCTCGTGGATGCCGATGCCGTTACGTATGACTTGCAGCGTGCCTTCCTTATAACGCACCGCAGCCACGCTTACCCAGCTGCTTGGCGCAGAGACGCCATAGAGTGTGTGAGTGACGACGAGAGTGAGAGAGAGGCGGCCGACAGGCGCGGCGGGAAGCGGCGGGGATCCGCATGCGCTGCGCATGCTCCGTGCGATGCGATGCCGTTTACGTATGCACTCGCCAGCGTGCCTTCTTATTACGCACCCGGAGGCACCGTCACCAGGCCTGGTGTGGGCAGAGAGAGTAGATGTGGGTGTGAGTGAGAGAGACGTGAGCCGAGACGAGGGGCCGAGAGGGGGCGCCGCAAGCGTCGATGCTGCCATGCTCGTGGCATGCGATGCCGTTACGCTGATGACTGCGCAGCCGCTGCCTTCCTTATACGACCACTCCCGAGCACGTCACAGTTGTGTGAGAGAGCAGAACGAAGAGACGTGAGTGAGTGAAAGAGAGTTGAGAGAGGCTGGTAGAGCGACCTTGATCTGACCCAACTGACATTGACAATGGACCTCACCTGGCCTTGGGACCCTGCCGCCGCCTCAAGCCCGTCAACGACGGCACATGTCGCAGGCATCGGACGAGGTTTCGCTGAACGTTTCTCCATGACCGCTCGACGTTCGGAGCGGCCGAGCATTGCGCCTCAACGCTTTGCAGACTGCACGCAGCTGCCGCAGTCGCCCCGAGACGCGCAGCCCACGGTAGCACGGACGCCATTGTCCAGGTACGTGAGCGCGCCACCTCCGCGATCGTCGTCTGCCGACATAGATATAACGCGCGTTATATTAATTATTATACATTAGGCCAAAAACAAAATTATAGGTGTGGTTACGCCGTTTCCCGACCACCCTATTTTATTTCCGCAGCCCGACCCTTAAAACAATTTTATTGCTCAATTTTCTTTAAAGTCAAAAAATAAAAAATAAATAAAAATAAGATAAACAAAAATAAATATGAAATTGACAGCCTTCCTGGCCCCTTCCAAAAGGCACGAACGCACATCCTTCGCCGACATGAGTTTGTAAACTAAAAAATATGTTCAAGAAAATAAAATGCTTTTCCCTACCTACCTCACCCTATTTTTTTCGGCATGCTAACCGGTAACCATACCATATATTTCTGTTTTGCCTTATCTGCTGCACGGGTACACAAAGCGGTTAAATATCATCATTTCACGTGCCCCACCCTCCCTCCCCGCCCCCTTCACGCATCTGCCGCACGCCAGGCGGGCGCCACTCATCCTCCCTTACGCTCGCGCACGCAAGCAGGCGCCGCCACCATCCTCCCCTCCCCGCCCCCCCTCACGTCCGCCCGCACGCAGGGCGGCGCCACCACCCTACCCTCCCGCCCCTCACGCCGCGCACGCACAGGGCGGCCACCTCCTGCCCTCCCCGCCCCTCACGTCTCGTCGCGCCACGCACGGTCAGGGCCCACGCCATCCTCCCTCCCCGCCCCTCAACGTCGCCCGCCACCGCAGGGCGGCCGCCAACATCCTACCCTGCCCCGCCCCCCTCACGTCCGAGCGCACGCTTACGATGAGCCGCCACCGTTAACCTCCTCGAGCCAGCTCGCACCTTGAGATCCTTAACCGACCGACGGCAGGCATTCCATCTTCTCTTCCTTGTCGAGCAGCCCAGCCATGCACAGCAAGTCGGCCCTGCATGTCGCCCGCAGAGCTAGCCGCCGAGCCCCGTTCGGTGTCGCATCCTGACCGTACGCAGCACGCATCCCTGCTTTGCCCTGCCGTCGCACAGCCGCTCGAAAACAGAGCAGGACCGCGAGGTAAGCGCCAAGCCATCACGGAGAGCCCTTGTCGACGCGCGCTGTGCCGTTTGTGTGCGTGCCCGTGCGCGCTGTGCCATGCCGTACGTCCGCCATGCATGTGCATTTGTGTTACGTGGTGCTCAGTGTGCTCGTGCCATGCATTGACTGCATTTGTGCCTACGTGGTGCCGTGTGCCGTGTGTGCTCCGTGTCCCTCTTTCCTGTTCTCTCTCTGCTGCATTCTCCTCGTAGCGCCCCGCGCTCCCTCTCTCTCTCGCACTCTCTCTTCTCTCTCTCTCTCTCTCTCTCTACCCCCGTGCGCGCTCTCTCTCTCTCTCGATCTACCGCCTCTTCTTCTCCTCTGCTCTCTCTCTCTCTCTCTCTCCCTCTCACTCTCCTAATCTCTCTCTTTCTTTCTCTCCCTCCCTCTCTCTGTCTACCTCACTCTCTCTCTCTCTCCTGCTCTCTACAGTTAGTGAGGGAGTGGAGTCACCTTGATGAGGGGAGGTGCGATGGCATGATAATGGTCACCCTTGTGGTAAGCGATGCTCTCTTGTCCTATGATGAGCGCCCCTCCAAACGGCTCTGGAACTGACAAATACCACCGTGAGCATACGAAACAAGAGAACTGACAAATACCACTGTGAGCATAAACGAAACAAGAGAACTGACAAAATTTACCACGTGAGCATACGAAACAAGCCAGAAACTTGACAAATACACACTCGCCTAGCCATACGAAACAAGAGAACTGACAAATACCACTGTGAGCATACGAAACAAGAGAACTGACAAATACCACTGTGAGCATACGAAACAAGAGAACTGACAAATACCGCGTGAGGCATTACGAAACAAGAGCAACTGACAAATACCTCACTGCTGAGCATACGAAACAGCAGAATCTGAGCCAAATTCCCACTGTGAGCATACGCAAACAACGAAAACTGACAAATACCACTGTGAGCATTCACGAAACAATGAGAACTGACACAATACCACTGTGAGCATACGAAACAAGAGAACTGACAAATACCACTGTGAGCATACAAAACAGAGAAATTGCACAATTTCATCATGGAATGACAATTATGCAGGTATATGGCAACAAATGCTAAAATCCAAATGTTCAACACTGGCAGAAATTTTGGTGCACTCATATCTGCCTCTATCGTGCAGTATTCTCCCTGCTGCCTAACATCTGTTCTCACCTGTCGCCTAACGAGCATACACCTGCTGCTAAACCATTGTTCTCACTGTGGTAATGAGCATACACCTTAGCTTGCTAACCATTGCTTCTTCACCTGTCCGTCGCTGTCACCGTCATCGTCACCATCGCTGCCATCGTCGTTGTCACCACTGTCACCACTATTGTCATCGTCGTCACCCGCTGCTGTCATCACCATCGTCCTCGTCGTTGTCATGCACAGCTACCTGAGTGACAGGAAGAAGGTGACGCTGGGCACGCAGCCGACGGTTCTGCGTACGTTTCGCTCGCTCTCCACCGTCAACGTGTTTGCTTGCTCCGACCGTCCCACTGTCATCTACTCCAGCAACCACAAGCTAGTGTTCTCTAACGTCAACCTGAAAGAAGTCAGCTACATGTGTCCACTCAACTCTGACGGATACCCGGACAGGTATCACGCGAGATAGTCGATTATTAATTGACAGATTGATCAGTGATACGTCGAGATTAATTCATTGTGACGTAGTGATATAATGATTGATTAATAACTAATTAGTGAGATATTGTTTTTAAAATTAATAATTATTTAGAGATATGTTGTTTAATTAATAATTAATTTGGGATATATTATTTAATTAATTATCAATTAGTGATATAAGATTAATAATCAGTTACTGATCTATCTATTCATAATTGATTGCTGATATATTCGTTGATTGCTAATCATTTTTAGATTAATTGACTAGACCAAAATTGATCCATCAATGAATCAATCGATAGCAGTAATTCAATAATCTTAATTAAATCAATAACTGTTCTTGCAGCCTCGCGCTAGCTAACGACAGCACGCTAACGATCGGTACGATCGATGAGATCCAGAAGCTGCACATCCGCACCGTGCGTCTGGGAGAGTCGCCGCGTCGCATCGCGTACCAGGAGTGCGCGCAAGCCTTCGCCGTCATCGCAAACCGCATAGACGTGCCTGATGGTAACGTGCTGGTGCCCTCACACCCCAGCGCCAGCACACAGGTGAGGGGGAGGGGCTGAGGGGAAGGGGGAGGGTGAGGGGCTGAGG